ACGGCCAAGCCCCCCTGCGCCCCCAAGTTCTCAGCGCGGGCGGGAATGGGCCAGGGCTCCCCTGGCTTCGGGGCCTTGCCGTTCCTCGAATTACGGAGGTACTGCTTCCCAGATTCGGTAATCGTCTCATCGCACGGCTTGGCTAGCAGCAGCCCCCCCCCCCCCCCAACCCCCACCCACGCACACGCACGCACGCACGCACGCGCGCACCTCGAACCACACTCCCGAAATGAGCGCACTTCCAGCACCAGACAAGTCCGTGCCTGATGGCAACCGTGTGCGTCGGATGGACGCTCCTCGTCGCAGTCTGGATATCACTCACGGCTCGGGGCGGCGCGAGAACGGGGGGTCCAGCATTTCTCTGAACTCGAAGCGCGGTGCCCCCTTGACATCGGGATTTCTCGAGCCAGTCCACCAGCGAGGATCTGCCAAGGCCCGAACGACAAAAAGCACAGACCCAACCACGCTTCAGCACCCGCTGCATCTTGTGCCCTGAATTCTGCTCCAAGAAGACAGCCCGCCGACCAGCCTCCCCCCTTCCCTCGGGCGCCTCGCGCGCGGGGCGGTCCTGGTCGGCTGCCTCGGCAGCCAGCTCGGCGCAGACAGCGGCCAGTCGCTGGTGCACCAGCGTCGCAGTCGCATCCCCCTGGGCGAGGTGACGGACCTGGCTAGCGATCCATGCGTAGTCTTCCTGAGCCCCGAGCTGGGCCGAACAATCTGCAACAACATTACCCCGCGAAATCTCAACCCTTTGACCGAGCCTCGCATGGGACGCAGAATCCAAGTGAGAACGACATTTTCGGAGTCTGACGGTTCCTGGGCGGTCCTGGGCAGCCTGGGCGATTCTCACACAACAGAGCCTCTGGGCCCCTGAAGGTCGTTCCAATTGGCCCCCGAACCAACCGTCAAAGACAAACTGACAGTCAGTATACACAATCAACTCCCCTTGCGTGAGCTGCAAGCACCACCGCAACGCTGCCAACTCAGCAGCTGGAGCACTCGTCTGCCGTCGACGCCACCATACCACCCAGGGGTAGGGTCGGGGCCCGAGGAGCCCTCAGGCGCAGACGGGGGGAAGGGGCCCTTGCTGGAGGAAGCAACACACACACACACACACACACACATCCCACGCACAACGACCTGGGGTCCGAGCTCGTGCCCGATCCGTCCAGGAAGGCTTTCTGGGCCCTGATCCTGGTCCAGGTGGGGAGTATCCCTCCATCAGGGCCGATTTCGGGGGTCGGGGCACCGACAGCACGAATTCGCCAAGCGCTCTGACCCCCCAAGACGGCGGAGGGGGAACCACGTTCCACGACCCAGGCACAATACCCTTAAGCCACAAGGACTCAATGGCCCCATTGTCGAGGTCAGTCAGAGCGCGCTGGCACATTTAAGTGGTGCGCTGGATCCATGGGTGCACTTTTGCTGCTACACTGGGGCACTCATAAACTCGGTGGCGCACCGCGTCAGGGGAGCTGGGGTCACATCGCTCACGCAGCCCTTCCGTGCTGTGCCCAGCGCGGCGCTGGCGACCCCCATTCCACAGCGAGCCACAAACAAGCCCCTCCAAGGCCCCAGCTTCTTGGTACATATCTTTCTGGAGCATCCTGGAAAGGTTGTTGCGAAGCATGGTTACATCGCCCCCTTCGGGCTTTAAACACGACCCCTCAGAATGCTTCGAGGCCTGTTCCCAAAGAAGACGCTTCACCGATTCCACCAGAGCTTCACTTAATTCAGACATATCTCCAGACAGGCCGGGGTCGAACCTCCACTCAACACCGTCGGGGTCCTCCCACCAATCAGGTTCAATCCCAGCCCATCCCAGGGCCCTGAAAGTTAGAATCATCGCCCCCATTGGCCCTGTGCACGCCCTCCAGCGGGCTCGAAACCTTAAACGCGCTAGCCTCAACTTAGTGGCCGTCCACCCCCTGCGCACGTGCTGCCTGAGGCCGGAATTGTTGGCCCAAAAAGCAAGCCACTCCTTGGCCTGTCGCTTAACACTCATGACCCAAGGTCCCCGATCCCCATACAGCAGCAACATAACCATGGACGTGCATCGCCCTTTCTTTCCTACACCATCCATGTCCGCAGCCAGTGCTTTGCGCCGACGGATCTCCGTGGGAAGGAGGCAAAAAGGGGGCCATCGTACGACATCTTAGCGCTACTACTACTACTACTGTACAGCTGGATTATTTTCTTTCTGCGGGCTTTGCCCAAGAAGACACAAACGTGGGCCCTCGAGGCCCTCACTCGTCCAAGACGCTCACGTTTCCCTGCTGTAGTCCTGGTCCGTTTTCCCCCCATGGTGTTGTCGGTCCCAGGTCCTTCATTGTGCTGCTCCTCTTGATTTTGACCCCTATCTCCTGCAACGCGTCCTCAACCATCGTCGCGTCGTCGCTGCTGGTCGTCAGGATCGTAGATGTGTTCGATATTCGAAGTCTGGCTTCCAGGCATCCCTTGACTAGTGTTGTAGCAGCGGGGAGGAAGACGAGAAGGAGGAGGAGGACGGGAAGGGACGAGTTTCATTTCCCGCCTAAAGAAACAAAGGAGGGAGCAAAACTACAGAGCTTCCGAGGTTACCTCCAGGAGGCCCCAAGGTAGCCCCAAGATGGATCCGAACGCCTTTCGAGCCTTCCCGAGTATCCTCCAAGAGGCCAGAAACCTTCCAACATCCATACACCAATGTGTTGTGCCTTCTCGCTTGTTCGCTTCCGATGGGCCTATGTGGCCTCAAGGTGGCCCAAGAGAGCCCCCCAAAAGATCAGGCGCGCCCCAAGACAGCCCCACGAGCGCCCAAGAGACGCCCAAGCGCGGCCCCACAGCGCCCAAAGACAGCATTGTTGAGTCTCCGAGGGGGGGCTGACTTGACTACCGCCCCCCCCCTTGTATCGAGCCATGAGCGCCAAGAGGCCTCCCAGACCCTCCAAGGAGCCCCAAGAGGTCCACAAGACCCCAAACAACCCCAAGAATGCCCCAAGCGTGTCCCGAGAGGCCCCACAGGGACCCCAAGAAACCCCCTAAGATGGCCGCAATCGACCTTCAAGAATTTTGCACAACGACATATATCACGACTTCCCAAACTCCTTGTCATCGTCCGCTGCTTCCGTCCTCGTTTCCTGTCTCCTCATTCCTCCTCCTCATCCACCTCGTGCCGCATTCCTCCTCCTCCCCCAATTACTCCCCCTCCTCCTCCTTCCTTTTTGTTGTTCCTCCTCCTCCTCCTCCTCCTCATCATCATCATCAGCATCATCATCCTCATGTCCCCCCTACTGCCCCCAAAGTGGTCCCAGGACGTCGCGATTGCCTCAAGATAGCCTCCGACGGACCGACAAGAGGTCTCAAGACAGCCTCAAGATGGCCCAAGATAGCTGAGCCTGGCTCAGGATAGCCCCGACAGCCTCTAGCCGAGCATGGCTCAAGACAGCCTCAAAAAATGCCTCAAGACCGCCTCCGATCGTGTCTGGCAAGGCTGGTGGCGACACCCCGAATCCGTTTTAGACGGTCCGGGATGCCCGAAACGGACCCCAAAGACCAAAACCGCAGAGAAGCGCCTGGGTTTAAGTCGGGCCTGTCCCCATACAGGGGGATTTTCGATGACAAATAAACAATACCCCGAAAATCCGCCGGCCCCCTTGTGGGGCCACCAGGCTGTAGGCCCGTGATTCGCAGTTTCCTGTACCAGTTGTAGTTTGTAGTTTCCAGTGTTACAGTTCTGCTTCTTGCTGGTTACTGTAACTAGTTGATTGACCGCGCGAGGGGGGGGGAGGCCCAAACGGGATTTTTTAGCACCCCCTGGGCGCGTTGTCTGAATTGCTGGGGGGGCTCGAAATCGACACCCCTCACGCAGATCCGCGGGGTCAGGGTCCAAAAACACAGGGGATTTGCCACATTTCTGAAATTCGGTGCCACCCCTCACGCAGATCCGCGGGGTCAGGGTCCAAAAACACATTTGCCACATTTCTGATCAGGGTCCAAAAACACATGGGATTTGCCACATTTCTGAAATTCGGTGCCACCCCTCACGCAGATCCGCGGGGTCAGGGTCCAAAAACACATGGGATTTGCCACATTTCTGAAATTCGGTGCCACCCCTCACGCAGATCCGCGGGGTCAGGGTCCAAAAACACATGGGATTTGCCACATTTCTGAAATTCGGTGCCACCCCTCACGCAGATCCGCGGGGTCAGGGTCCAAAAACACATGGGATTTGCCACATTTCTGAAATTCGGTGCCACCCCTCACGCAGATCCGCGGGGTCAGGGTCCAAAAACACATGGGATTTGCCACATTTCTGAAATTCGGTGCCACCCCTCACGCAGATCCGCGGGGTCAGGGTCCAAAAACACAGGGGATTTGCCACATTTCTGAAATTCGGTGCCACCCCTCACGCAGATCCGCGGGGTCAGGGTCCAAAAACACATGGGATTTGCCACATTTCTGAAATTCGTGCCACCTCTCACGCACATCCATCGCAAGGCGTGGTAACCCAAACTGCGAGTACTCCCTCGGCCCTTTAATCCCAAGGTGTGGTAACCAAGCTCGTAAACCATACACGTCTTACCAATCGCCCTGTGTGGTAACCCCTCTTGTGATCAGTTGGTTTTGCCGAGTGCGAATCGGCCTCGCATGAAGTTCCGATACTGCTGCACGACAGCGCCAAAGCCTCATGACTTAGCTCTTCCATGGCCCATTCTCCGAGAGAGGGGGCCGGCGGCAAGGCGCGGCGAAGCCCTTACGGATTATATAAAAAATACGGGAACGATTTTTTGAATTTTTGTTTGCCATTTTGTTGTATGTTGTGGGTATTTTCATGTTTCGTCGAAAATCCCTCTGTAGGGGGACACGCCCGACATGAGCCTGGGTTGAAAACGCGCACGTCGTCGGGGATCTGAGTCCGCGGGCCCCCGCGGGCCTCCGAGGGCGTCCGATAAGGGGTCCTCGAGGGCGCCCGGCGCAACGCGGGCTTCCGCTGCCAGGGTGGCTCGGGGGGCGGCAGGTTCCTGCCGGCGGTAGAGGGCGAGCCAGTCGTCCATCTCCTCCTTGATGCGCTTCTGCCACCTCGGCGGGGAGGCGGGAGAAGCGGGGCTCGGGGGGGGAGAGGGAGAGGGCAACAACAATCGGGTGCGCTCGCACAACGTCTGACAGCCTAGTCCTCCCATCCAACCCTTCCGGTCATTCCGCTGATGTTTGCTCCATCCGCCGACGGGTGTCATGGCGGACCTGGAACCCACATCACAGGCCTGTTTCCGTGTCGTGCGCAAGCAGAACAGGGTAGCTGCGTACGTTGGAGGCGGCTGCAAGTACGTTGGAGGAGGCGGTGGCGGATGAGCCCAAGGATGAGCCAGAGGAAGAACAGGAGGAAGAGTCGTATGAGGAAGGAGAAGGACAAGGAGGAGCAACAGCAACAGGAGCTGAAGTGGGGGGGACTGGAGGAGCAGGATGGCCAGGGAAAGGACGGGCGTGGAAAGGGAAGGAGCGGGCGACAACGACGAGGAAGGACTCGGATCCATAAAAGTGGCGCGTGTTGGGGCGAGACCGCCAATCTGAACGACGGGCACACATCGCCGATCCTTAAGTGAGGCCCGCGCTGCAGCGGGGGCACCAGATTGAGACACCGACAGCGCTCCGATAAAGCAACGAATCACATTACGTACGAACTGTAGAAAGCGGCTTCTTTGACAAAGATGGCGGGACCCTTCCAGGACATGGCCAGGGGAGAGCAGTATTCACCTTGAGCAGTTGCGGCGGCCATGGGGCAGGAGGGGGCGGAGCGGTGGGGCAGCAGGGGCCGGGGGGGCAAAGAGGACGGACGGTGCCACCTGTGCACCCGCGCCGACCCTGGCCGAGCTCATCCTGAGCCAAGGATCGGTGCATACGTGCGTACGCCCTCCAAGCTTGGGCAGGATGGCCCCGCCCCTTTCGCATCCTCCATCTCGTCCTCCTATCCACCCCCTTTTCCTCCCCCTCGTCCTCATCCTCGCTCCCCTCTGCCGAGTCTTGCTCTTCCTTCCCCTCCGCGTTGCTTCCCTGGCGCGCGAAGCGGACTGACTTCGCCCGTGTCCAGTCCCTTTCCCTGGGGCCTCGCCTGGAAAGCTGCGACAGGAGCGGAGCAAGGAAAACATGGTAACATGGGGGCAGCGCGTCCTGAGAGAGATGGATCCTGGACCCTGGGGCCACCCCCCAGGACAATTTTTGGAGGCCTGGAAATGGGCACCAACACCAAGACACGGGGCTGCCTCCACAGGGTGGAGACGATCCTAGAATTCGGTGTTGGTGGTAATATTTCGGTCACCTTGGAAGCCACAATATCACCACCATCACCGAGATCGGGATTTTCTTCCCTCGGTGGAAGAACGCCGCCGATCTTGGTGTTGGTGTCAACCTCTAGGCCTGCGACATTTGCTCATCCTGCACCGGGGATCTTCTGACCCGGGTCAATCCAGCAGCAGGAAACCACAAACTGAAAGGCAGGAACAAAAATTGCAACGCAGGTCTTCGCAAACCCAGGGTCAGCCAATATGCGCGGCCGCCTCGCGGCCACGGGCGGCTCGCTAACCCGGGTCAGCCAGAGGGGGTCTTCGCAGGATCATGCAGGATCCGGTGCCCTGGCTGACCCCCGTTTGCACTGACCCCCGACTCTTAGGCCCCGACTGCATCGTTTTCTAAGAGTACTGGGGCCCGCGGAAGGCCCCGCGGGGCCCGATCTTCCCTGCAGGCCCGGCCCCGGCAAGCGGCGGGGCGGCCGTGGACCGTCGGCATGGCCACCGGCAGCGCTGACGGACAGGGGACCGACCACGACGACGATGACGGCGACGACGACGACGCCCCAAGACGGCCCGAGGGGCTTCCCGGGAGCGGAGCAGTGAAGGGGCCCTGGGACACACAAGAAAAAAATGCACACAACTAGCAGGATTCCCCATATCTTCCCATACTCTGTGGGTTTTTGCCTTCCCCCCACTTTGGGGAAAGTCGACGATTAATTGTCGGGAAAGTCGACGATCTTTTCGGGGAAGTCGACGATCTCTTCGGGGAAGTCGACGATTAATCGTGTGGGTGTGTCTCTTTCCGAGGAAGCCTTTTCGGGGAAGTCGACGATCTCTTCCCATATGTTCCCCAAGTTCTCGGGGAAGTCGACGATTATTGTTGCCATCCTTTCGGGAAATCCCTAGCAGGACTCCCCCTATTTTCCCCTACTCTGTTGGGTGTTTGCCTTCCCCCCCACTTCCCACATGTTCCCATCTTTCCTTGGAAATCGACAATAAGTTGCGTCTGTGCGGTTCCTTCCCCTTTCTGCAGCATGGAGGAACACGGCCATGGTCCGCGGGCGTCTCCTGGCCCCCCCCCCCCCGAGAAATTGACGAGGAGGAGGAGGAGGAGGAGGAGGAGGAGGAGGAGGAGGAGGAGGAGAAGGAGAAGGAGAAGGAGGAGGAGGAGGGGGAGGAGGGGGAGGGGAGGGGGCGGGGGAGGAGGAGGACGAGGACGAGGAGAGGACGAGGAGGAGGAGGAGGAGGAGGAGGAGGAGGAGGAGGAGGAGGAGGAGGAGGAGGAGGAGGAGGAGGAGGAGGAGGGAGGAGGGCGGCACGAGGGTGCCACGAGGACTTCCCCCTCTCTTCTCGGGGATGTCGACGGCGACTTGCGTCTGTGCGGTCCCTTCCCCCTCCTGCAGCAGGGAGGAGCACGGCCCTGGCCTCGCGGGCGTCCCCCTGGGCCCAACCCCCGATCAATTGACGAGCAGGAGGAGGAGGAGGAGGAGGAGGAGGAGGAGGAGGAGGAGGAGGGAGGAGGAGGGTGGAGGAGGAGGAGGGAACAGGGCCCCTCCCCCCCCCCGTCCTCCGGGGGGGGGGCCGGCGCCTCGAGGCGGGGCGCCGCAGCCGTAAGTCGGGTCTGTCCCCCTACCAGGGGGACTTCTGGAGGGAAAGTCCAACATAGTCAAACAATGCTTAAACATATTTTAAAAATGCCACAACAAATGAAGAAAAATGAAACATAGTCAAAAAATGCTCCCAAATGGTCAAAGAATACAAAAAAATGCTCCCAAATGGTCAAACATATACTCAAAAAAGAAATAATCAAAACATGTCCCCAAATGGTCAGAACGTATGCAAAAAAATTGTCCCCAGACTATCTCTCGCATATCCTTGCATATTCCTCCTGTGGAGGGACGGGCCCGACCGGAGCGTGGCTGCGCGGGGGAGCCGGCTGGGCAGGCCCAGGCGCAGCCCTGGAGCAAGCGGGCGACGAGAAGCCGACGCGACCTGGACCTGATACGGTGGGGGCCTCGGGTGTTGGCAGAACTGGGTTTAGTGGAACCTGGTTTAGTGATTTGTATCGGGGGCGCCCCCCCGTCCCATTTCCACTAACTGGAACTGCCGTCACCCGAAAAACACCAATTACGGCAAACCTGGTTTAGTGAATCTGGCCAATTGAGGGGCCCCAAGGCCCTACCACTAACCGGGTCCCCTTACCCGGGGTCCTGGCTATACCCGATGACCACAATCGGGCCGGGCGAAGGGGGGGGATCGCAAAGGGGGGGGTGAGAATCAGCTCACGCATGGCTGATTTTCCTGGCACCTCCCGGCGCCGGGAGGCACCCATGTATGTCGAGGAATGGGCCCGGCGGCCGGGCCGAAACCAGCTGCATGCAGCAGATGTTATACCCCCCCCCCTTTCCCAATCCCCCCCTTTCGTCCGGCCCGACAGCGGGCGACGAAAAGCCGAAGCGACCTCGACCTGATACGGTGGAGGCCCGACCACAAGAAGCCTCCCACAAGACACCCAGACCTGAGCCCCCAGGACGTCCATGGACTTTTGGTGCGGGAGCGTCACGCTTTCCATCGCAAAACCATCAAAACCTAGGACACTCTTGAGGCAAGCAAGGTGGTTCGTGGCATGGACCTCCACAATACCTCGGTCCGACTGCACGGTAGGCTCGTGCGGCGTCGGCGCGCGCAGAGGTTTTTGACACTGCCTCGATCGTTTCCGTCTTTGAGCCGATCGACGCCCCGATCGTTCAAGGTTGAAGGTTGAATGCCGCCGGGTCCAGTGGCGTCACCATGTCCCTGGGTGCTTCCGCGTCGCAGAATTCAATCTTGAATTCCTTCGCCGGCGTCGCTAGCGCGCCAACGCCGCACGAACCTACCGCACCACACACCCCCAACCTAACTAACTCGAATACCCACATTTCGGGTGTGCGGGGGTACAGGTTCCACATGTGTTTTTTTCAATGTTCCCCGAGGCCACCCCCCACAACCCACTGGGAATGGTTGGAAAAATGTAGCCTTCGGGTCGGGATGGGGTGGCTTGGTGGGTGGTGATCTACTGGCCCGGGTCAATCCAAGCCCAGGTCAGTCGGGCCTGGCAGGATCATGCAGGATCCAGGATCCTGCAAGATCCTGCGCGCTAGCCTGGGTCAACGCACCCCTGGCTGGCTCTGCAGGATCCTGCAAGATCCGGCGCTCTGGCGGACCCCCGTTTGCACTGACCCCCGTCTGGCTCCCGAGGACCAAGCTCGGGTGGAGCACCGGCGGGGCCTCGACAACGGCGACGGGGACGACGACGATGGCGATGACGATGACGACGACGACGACGACGATGAGGGCGACGACGACGACCCGAACCAGGCGGGCGGTCCCTGACGGGCAGACCGGGCGGACACGCCGCGACCGGCCCAGACAGCAGTGGGCTTCCCCAGTGACGAGCTTGCGCAAGACATTGGCTGATTCTCCTCTCCCGTCCCCAAACACTCATGACCTCTTGCTGCCTTGCTCGCGCGCTGCACGGCACGAGCGTGGGACACCGCAGCCTTTTGGCCCTAGAGTCCGAAACGTGTCGCAAGCTAAAAATGGTTGAGATCGGTAATACACCAAGTGCCCCCCTCAGCGTGTCGTCTCCATCGCTCGAACCTGCTTCACAGTCGTGGGGCGCGCCTCTCCGTTCTCTGGCTTCCTGCGACGACTTCTCCGGAGAGTTACCCCTCGCGCGCCCTTCCACCCACGCGTCCTTCAAAATGCGTGCCTCAGTGGTGGTGGCACGATTGCTAAGCCCCAGGGCGTTGACAATCATGGGGATGCCCCCTGAGGAGCTCAGGGAATCCTGAAGATCGGCATCGACAAACACGGTGATGCAGGGAGAAAGCCTCGATGGAGTAACAACAGAGGGATGGAGATCCACCCCGATAATAAGCACCCCGACGACGCAACCGTGAAGTAAACGCACCCGACGCAGGAATCGAACAAGAAAGCGCTGTTTAGTAAACGCACGGGGCCGTTCAGTAAACGCCGATTATGGGGGTCGGGGTGGATTTGCCCTCGTTGAAACAAGGCAGGGCGTGAGAGGAGGACGAGGATGATGAAGGACGAGCGCGGAGCGAGAAGCGGCGGGATAAGGCGCGATGGACGACCTCTCCATGCGCGGGGTGCCCTTGTCGAGCGACCCAGAGATCTTCATGTGCTTCAGCAGCTGCGGGAGGTCTTTTCCCAGGGAAGGGCGCTCTTCGGCGCGACCCCCCCCCCAAAAAAAAGACAAAACATTGAAACATCGACTCGAACCCCGATCCTCGACCCTCCTCCTCTTCCTCCTCTGCCTCCTCCTCCTCATCCTCCTCCTTCTCTGTTTCCCCCTCGCTCTTCGTCGTTTGTTCCCCCGCACCACCCTGAAACCTGCATGAGCCTCCCAGAACCACCCCCCCTCTTCCCTCGGCCCACCTCCTGAAACGCTCCAGCCAGAGGAGAATCGAACAACAGCGTAATCGACTCGAAGGGGACCCCGTTCCTGTAATCCCTTCCCCACGAGAGAGGGGAGGTCCCGGGGGAGGAGAGGGAGGAGAAGATCCCGCGGGGTCCCTGGAAGCGTCCTGCGAATCGTGCCCCCCCCCCCCTTCCCCCTTCTCCGACCGAGAACGCAGAGCCCCAGGAACACCCCAAGAGAGGCCGAAGAGGGGGAAAACCAACCCACATTTCAAGCTCCCCACTCCAAGAGGCTACCAGGAGGTCCCGAAATCGCCCATGTTTTTTCGCCCGCTCGACTTCCAGGCTTCATACACTCTTCACGTCGGCCCCAGTTGCCTCCGAGAGCTCGCAAGAACGGCCCAAATACACGCCAGGATGGCCCGGGAAGGCCCCAAGACGGCCCAAAGCCCCCCTTGACAGCCCAAGAGGGCCCGGGAAAGCCCCAACAAGGACTCGCGATCGTCGTCGCCGTCGCCGTCGTCGTCGTCGCCGTCGTCGTCGTCGTTCATCGTCCCCCTTCAGGGTCAGCGGCATCGGCCGTAAGGCCTTCGCAATACCAAGACTTTATGTCCTTCTTGGAGGCGCGCGTCCGACCCGAACAAACCGTATACCCATCTTGTAGTACATCGTTTCCCGAGCGGTGTGGTCAGAAAGCGCCCGCCACGACGCATATACTATAAGATTTCTCTGTGCGCGCGTCGCCCCTGGGGGGGGGGGGGGCGACGCACATTTAGCATGAGTATGTTGGGGTGACACCGATAGATATCTGACCTCAGAAGCGGTTGCGGGCACCCTGGGCGACAGACCGCAGAGCCGGCCGGAGGCCAGGCCAGGCACCCTCTTGAGACTGCGCGAAGCGCCTCCCCCCAGGGGAGGTGGCTGGACTGGGCCCCATCCAGTCCTGAAGAGGCCCTGGGACACACAAATAAATACACACAAATAAAAAGATTCCGCATATTTTCAATTTGTGTTGGGTTTTTGTCTCCCCCCCACTTCCTATATTTCCCCATATTTTCCTGGGGGGTCGAGGGATCATTGTGTCTGTGTGCTTCGTTCCCCTCCCGAAATCCTGCCTACCCTGCTCCCCCCTCTTGCCCCTCTATAGTCGAGACGAAGCCAGGACAACGAGAAAAACTGGCGAGGAGAACTCAAGAATCTCTGAGATCTAGCTGTTGTAATGGGAACATCGGACGCCGCGGCCTTTCGGGAGCGGCAAAGAGGGGGGCGTCAAAGAGGGGGGTGTGCAAATCATGGCCGGTGGCATGTGCGCGGCCCAGGGGTGGGGCAGGGGACGTTCTGAAATGAGAAGAGGCGCCATGAAATCGGTGATAATATCATGGCCCACGCCATGATATCCACCCCCCCTAGTCGTCACCCCCCTCTTTGCCGACCTTGATTTTTAGAGCGTTCCGGAACGCTCTCAGAACCTTCCGGAACACGCTGTGGAACGGACTTATCAACGTCCTGGCCCCGTCCGACCTTCCCCTGCTCCCTCCTCCTTTCCCTCTACTTCCTCTCCCTTGCGGCTCACCCCCCCATCGGGGGTCGTAGGAAGGAGGTCTGCCTTGCGCCGAGATGGTGCCGAGGGCGGCCTTGGTGTGCGTTCCCGGTCGAGGGCGCTCTTTTCGCGCCGCGCATCTCGATAAGGAAGAGCCCCCCCCTCCAGCCGCGTGCAGTCTGGGCAGCTGACTGTCTGAGCATCCTCCTGGCAACGCTGCCCGAACGGTGTGGGCGTTCGTTTTCTTCGCCGCGGGGGTGGGGATCCATGCGTCGCCTCCTGGCATCCAATTCCTTGCAGCGGATGAGTGGGCTGCCGGCAGGCTCTAGCAAACTAAGACGCCTGGCGAGGGGCCATGCCCTAATTACGCAACTGCGTGGACCACAGGGAGTACAATAAAAAACTCGAATAAGGACGCGCGGCAAGGACGCAAGACCCTTGGAAGCCGAAGTTGGGATTTTGGGGGCGGCGGACGACGAAAACACCAAGGACGCAAGAGCAAGGAAGAGCAAGGACGCAAGGGTACCGTGAGCAAAGTCGCGCGTCCTTATACGGGTTTTTGACTTCAGCTGGAATTGCCTGCGAGGCACGATAGGTGTTACCGCGGGCACATGCGGGTGCGGAGGGCATGTCAAGTTGTCCACGACGTCCTTGCGAGGCACAATGGACGAAGGCCCAAACCAAGGACAACGGGGAGATGGCGACCCCAGTACCCGACGTTTTGACATTGAAAGGGCCCAAGGACACACAAGTACTACACAAAAAACAGGATCCCTAATATTTCCCCATATGCTCTGGGTGTTTGTCTTCCCCCCCCCCTTCCCATAGGTTCCCATATTTTCTGGGGAACCGACGAGTAGTTGTGTCTGTGTGTTTCTTTTTGTCCTTCCCTGATTCCTGATGCAGCTTGGTTGAAAGGCGCGTCATCTCCCGCCGCTGACCCGAGGCTGGTGATAAACAAACGTTGACGACAATAACACCTACGGTAGCATTTTGCTCTTCTCCAGTACTTCGCCACCAGGCTCCCGCCGAAGGCGTCCCTTTGAAAGCACTTCGGCTTCGGCACCGCCTGTATCCGAGGCTATGCCTCCTCTCGGCCTCGCTCTGAGGCTCCGCCGCTTCCTCCCTCCTCGTCTTTGCCTAATTCAAGCTTCGCGCGGCCCGCTTAGCTTCGACCGGAAGGCGTGCGCTCTCGACCCGCGGATCCAAAAAATGTGGGTTTGTTTTGTTTCTCCTGAAATATTGCAGGAGGGGGCGTCCATCCCGTGGAGTCGTCCCCAAGCCTCCCCTCTCCTCCGAGCGGCCAGTTTTGGGGGGATGAGCCTCCTGCGACTGGCACATATTGAAGGGTCCCTGGGACACACAAATAAACAGACAGTAAGAACAGGATCCGCCGTATTTTCCGTATTTTTTCTGGGTGTGTGTCTTCCCCCCCACTGCCCAGATGTTCCCATATTTTCTCGAGACTCGACGATTCATTGTGTCTGTGTGTTTGTTCCCTCCTGAACATACTGGCGTCTCGACGCTCTGCGCGACGAACGCGGGGGGGATAAGCACGACGCGGCCAGGGGCACGGCCGGGCGGCCGCTCTCGACGGTTGCTGGGCGGTCCCGCAGGGCCTGTGCAGGACACATGCGGCGCCGAGCTGTGTTCACCGACGGTCACTGTGGTCGGGCAGGTGATGGCGATGGCGACGCTGGATGGTAACTGTTACCGCTATGAGTCACGTCGCTGCCCCCAATGTTGTTACCAATGCGGCTGAAACTTTGGCAGGATCAGCCAACATCGGATCCGTGAAACGGATCGAGCTGAAATGTGCATCGAATCGGCCTGCATCGGCGGGGAGATCGGATTGGCCACGAAAGGATGCACACCAACGCCATGCAAACATCGGGCCGCATCGGATCATCGGAACCGAATCGGATCGACCGGCTGGAATCGATACGGAATCGGATCGATCGGATCGAGATGGACCCTGCGCTGGTAACCAGCCTCGAACGTATCCCTATCCTTAAGATCGACACGCCAAAAAGCGATGACAGTCTTAGGGATCCGCCCTCAAAAAATAAGGGAATCCCTAAGATTGGCAACGTGATGAGGAGATGCCCAGCATAGGGATAGGGATCTGTTCCAGGCTGGTAAGTTGGGGCTGGAACGGGGGCGCGGACCTGGTACGTGTCCTCGCGGTAGCTCTTCTTGATGTAGAACTCCTTTTCGTCCTGGAAGGCTGGCCCGGGCCGGCACGCCGGCGCGCCCCATGTCGGTCCGATGGACGTGGTCAGGGCGGCGCGCGCGAGATCGGCACATGGGCTGAGGAGGGAGGGGGGGGGAGAAGAGGGGGGGAGAGGAGGAGGAGGGAGGGGGGGGGGGAGGGAGGGAAGGGAGAGGGGGGGGGAGGAGGGGAGGAGGGAGGGAGGGGGGGGGGAGGGGGGAGAGAGAGGGGGGAGGGGTAGAGGGACGAAGGAGGAGGGGACGAAGGCTCATCTCATGCCATGCCACTGCACCGCGGGGCCATCCGTGAAGGTTCATTCCACTGCATGTCATGCGCCCGTGGCCAACCATCACTGCCATCAAGCCCAGCTGAAACGCAGGGGCTGTGCCGTCGGACTCCTCCGCCTGCAGGAGGCCGCCTCGGCCCATTGCGCAAGGCGCGGAGGGGACAATGGAACGGGCGTCCATGCGCACTTCCGCAGTGCAGCTGCGAGGCTTGGCGTCCGCGCGTGACCTTGGGGAGTAAAGGCCGCCATCGTCAAACTCGGAGCCGATTTGATCCGCCAGGTGAGATGTCGCGCGCAGCCGCTCGTATCGAGGAAACGCAAAGTACACTGGCAGAAAGCGAGTGGCAGACTGGTATCAATGTCGGTCCTGGGAAGGCCCGAGATCAGGAAGGTCAGGCTGACCGTTTGAGGTCCCAAACGTCTGGAGCCGAATGGACCACAGAGTTCCCCGCCCCTGCGCCGCCAAAAGGTAAAGACCCGTTCGAAGGTTAGCTTTAAGTCGGGCCTGTCCCCCTACAGGGGGATTTTCGCAGAAAAATAAAAAATACCCCCAGAATAATCAAAACAAAAATCCCGAAACAGTCTGGGGACTATGTTTTGACTATGTTTGGACCTTTTGGGGGCAATGTTGGGGTATCTCTAAATTTGTCATCGAAACTCCCCGTGTAGGGGGACAGGCTCGACCTAAGGTTAGCTAGGCGCTGGGCCACGAAACGTCGCGCACCGCGCCCCGCGATGCGCGACTCCTCTCGCGCCCTCGCGCCCTCGCGCCGCCCTCCTGGAGAGGGGGGCAGCCGCTCCGTTCTGGCGCAAGGACCGCGCCGCGCCCCTGCGGGCGACCGACGAGCTCCACGTGTCGAGTAACGACAGGGCAGCTTCTACGACATAGTTACCTAACAGCTCTTGCCGATAGGTTTCTAGTGGTCTCAAAAGAGAGCAGCAAATGACTCCACAGGGGGGTCGGGGCGGGACCCGGGGCCTGCCGCCGAAGCCGAAATCGCTTGGACATCCTCGCAAAATCGCTCTTGGTGCTCCCAGAACTCCATTCCCGGGCCACATTTTGGATGCCCGGAGCCAACTGTAGGCCACTTCGTGCTCTTCGACTTCCCAGAACTCCATTCCCGGGCCACATTTTGGATGCCCGGAGCCAACTGTAGGCCACTTCGTGCTCTTCGACTTCCCAGAACTCCATTCCCGGGCCACATTTTGGATGCCCGGAGCCAACTGTAGGCCACTTCGTGCTCTTCGAGTTCCCAGAACTCCATTCCTGGGCATGATTTTGAATGCCCGGAGCCAACTGTAGGCCACTTCGTGTTCTTCTAGTTCCCAGAACTCCATTCCTGGGCCACATTTTGAATGCTGAGGCAGGCTGATGCTGCGGCCGAGGCAGGCTGAGGCTGAGGCAGGCTGAGGCTGAGGCCGAGGCTGAAGGCAGACTGAGGCTGAGGCTGAAGCAGACTGAGGCTGAGGCTGAGGCAGGCTGAGGCTGAGGCTGAGGCAGGCTGATGCTGAGGCAGGCTGAGGCTGAGGCTGAGGCTGATGCAGGCTGAGGCTGAGGCAGGCTGAGGCTGAGGCCGAGGCTGAAGGCAGACTGAGGCTGAGGCTGAAGCAGGCTGAGGCTGAGGCTGAGGCAGGCTGAGGCTGAGGCAGGCTGAGGCTGAGGCTGAGGCAGGCTGAGGCTGAGGCTGTGACTGCGACTGCCGTTGCCGCTGCGACTGCCATCGCGAATGCGACTACGACTGCGAGAACAGCAGAATTCGACAACTGGAATTTCATCTGAATCTTAAGGGGAATGCTTACAGATATGCTTCTACACATCGCTGTTAGGTTGCTTTGCCAGGATAATTTCTCTTTAAAAGAAATGATTCCATGCATGAGCTCATCGTTGTTTTTTATACTAAATCCCTGCATTTTTAATACATGATCCGCACGCGGAGCATGCATTAAAAACGGCACTGGATGCTGTGGAAGAGCATGCCGGCCGACGAGCCCTGAAGCATCCCGCGGCCCAGATCGCAGAGCTTGGCTTCTCGGGTCGGGCGAGAGGGGGGGATAGCAAAGGGGGGGGGGGAGAATCAGCTCACGCAGCTGATTTTCCCGGCGCCTCCTGGCGCCAGAGGCGACTATATCGAGGAATGGGCCCCTCGGTGGGGCCGAAACCAGCTGCATGCAGCAAATGTCGTAACCCCCCCTTTCCTAATCACCCCCTTTCGCGCGGCCCAAGCTTCAGCCTTGCATATGGCAAAACGTTGCGCGTGGCCACGCACGTGCGCACACTGTTCACAGGCACCGGCCGGGGGGTCGAAGAGGAGCTTCTGGGGAACGCCCGGCTGGGGCGTCCGGGGGCCGAGCCTCCCCGGGCCTTGAGCTTATGACTACCTACCAGACCACCCCAACCCAACCCGAAGACCCCAATTTCGGGTTGGGGGGGGTACGGGTTCCATCTGTGTTTTTTCAGTGTTCCCCGACCCACCCCCCACTGGAAATTGAGGGCAAATTGAGGCCTGCGGGTTGGGTTGGGGTGGTTTGGTGGGTGGTGAGCTTAGGAGCCTTGAAGAAGTGCCCCTGGCACCGCTCAAGATGGCAGCGTGGGCGGCGCCAGCAAGTGCACCGCGTCCAGGGGAGCCCAGAATCGATGAGTCGGATCGGCAATCGAAATGAACCCGATCGTCGGAGATGGACCGCCAAGTCGATGTACGCCGGATCGGCGGAATCTGGCAGGCGAATCAGGCCTCCACTGAGAAACCGAAATACAGCTCGGAATCCGAATCCGAATCGGAAGCGGAATCGATCGACACCGAATCGAATCGAGTCGCAGGAGTCGAGATGAGCCCTGCCAAGTCCCACTGGCGTGAAGTCGGGCCTGTCCCCCTACACGGGGATTGTGGAGGAACAAAACAAAGAATCAAGAAATGCTCCCGAAGGGTCAAAAAATATTCATCAAAAAAAGTATCCAGACTATGTTTTGTGTATTTTTGGATATTCCTCCTGTAGAGGGACAGGCCCGACGTACAGTCGGGGCGCTGACCTAAGGAACCCTAAATAAGGAACGAGGCGCCTTTTCTCCAGAAGTTGAACTTCGATTTCCCTCCGGAAATCAAAGAGGAAAACCCCAGGCAAGCTGTGAGACAATCAAGGAACACGGAGCCCCTCCCCCACGAAAAGGGCTCCTCCTTCAGGGCCCCGACGGTACTCCTCCTCTGGATGGACAGGCCCCAACGAAAAGGGTTCCTTCCTCGGGGCCCCGACGGCATTCCTCCTGCAGAGGGACCGGCCCGGCTGGAACCCCCGGCGGCAGCGTGCGCGTGCCCGCCCCGCTCCAAACATCGAAGGGGCCCTCGGCGCTCCGCCCGCCCCGCGAGGCGCTGGGGCTCTCGGGCGCGGGCCCGGAGCTAGCGTACCGTCAGGCGCCTGCCAGAAGGAACGCCAAATGAGGAACGGAGCCCCTTTTTTTGTCACACTCCAACAATAATAAAAATATGTTTGTTTTAATTGTATTGTTTCAGGGCTTAGGGGTTCACAGAAATGTAAGGAGAAACCGAGCCCCTTTCTGGAAGCGTGCCCTCATCGTTGCCTCTCGTTATGCCAGAAAACAAGGAACGCCGGGGGGGCTCCGTGGCGCAATGGCGAGGGAACGCCGACCCAAGGAACCACGGAGCCCCTTCCGAACCCGAGCTGGACCTTATTTCAGGAGCCTCGCTGTACTTTGGAAAACCACGTGGGACTTGCTTTAGTAAAGAAGCCCAGGGACACACAAAGAAATACACACAAATAACAGGATTCCCCATAGTTTCCCATATCTTCTGGGCTTTCGCCTTACCCCCCCCCCACTTCCCATAGTTCCCCATAGTTTCCGGGGGATCGACGATTAATTGTGTCTGTATGTTTTTACCCCTCCTGACGTTAAGTCTCTGGGACACAGGCCCAGAGTTAGCGTACTCTGGAGAACCACGTGGGAGTTGCTCTAGACCAGGCACATGCCGTAAACGGTTATACCCTTTCTCCGAACATGTACTGCGCCGAACGCATCGGCCGCGTTGTCTGTAGGCACAGCCACCCCAACCGTGTCTAGGTACGCAACGACATCCGATGTGACTACAGACGCTTGGGGCTAGAGCGTAAAAGCGGTATGTGGCATATGCCCCAGATAATGGTCTTCTAGCAGCAGGAAGACGTTGCCCTCTAAGGCCTACGTCAAGAAGTGCGGGGCATACGTATACTGCCCAGTTGTTTCCCCGAGAGTATGATCGACCCCCGGGCCAAGGTGTACAAGCTTGGCGGCGCTCGCAGGTGGGTGGAGCGGGGGCGGGCTGCCTTCTGTGAAGGCGGGGGGGGGGCTTCTGAGAACGCAGGTGGCTTCTCAGCAGCCCCCCCCCCCCCAGCTGCTGATAAGCCCCCTGAGAAGTCTCTGGAAGGCACCTTTCTCTAAGAGGACCCCCGCCTTCTTCGAATAGCGGATCAACAAGAACTGCATGAGCAGAAGTTCGCGGAGGTCCACGTGGATTGTTTGGACTGGCGTTGAACACCCCTCCCCGGCGCGGGGAGCGCGCCAAGGGCGGCGCCAGAGGCGCCGCCAGGGGTGCACAACGCCGATCCGAGAAATCCGCTCGGAGCTTAGAGAAACTATGTTCACTCGGCTTTCTTGTTCTTGGAGGGGAGCCTCCCCTCGCGCACCACAGATCTCAAGTGGCCCACAGGGCGCACTCCGGCATCCTCGCATC